CTAGTAGGTTTGTAACGCCGAGCAACGACTGAAGTAATCGATTGGACGCTATTTTTATTTATTTATTTTTTTTTTCTTCCTCTTCGATTATGCTTTTTTTTTTACATAATTTTTTTACGATAATTGACGCCAAATGTCGATGCGCTTGTTCGTATTGCTCCTCACTCGTCTATCGGGTTCGCAGCTTAAAAAATTCCTAAAACAAGTATTTCGAATGTACATACACGTGTACACACGACGAAGAGATCTCTTTCTCCTATTGGCACAGGCAATTTCGTTTCGTGAAATTCCATCTGAATTTGTACAAAATATGTACAAAATATATATATATATATTTTTTTTTATTCGGTTTACAAAATTTCAGAGGGTGCGGGTGGTTTTTTTTTTTCTTTTTTATAATATATTTAGGAAATAGAAAATCTGTTCTCGCAGAAAAAATAGGCCAATTTTTTTTAACAGGATTTCTAATTCTCGAAGTTAAGTTTTTTCTCTAGATGAAATTTTGTTGGTTCTTTGTTAAAAGTTTAAGAACAGGTCACTGTCTTTTTATTTCCTTTTTTTTTTTCTCTCTATTTTTATTTTTCGTTCAACTGCGAATCTCTCCTCTCTTATTTAATCGATTTCTAATCGACCTTTGACTGGAAAGCTACGTTTCACACAGTCAAACTTCCTGCCACAAGTGTCAGGACACTTACCACCATTTAATACAAATTAGATGCTTCGTCTGTGCTTTCATTTTGTCTACTAGTCTCGATCTAAAAATCTATCGTCCCGTTGTTATTGCATGAAATGCCAAGCAGGGAATATCGAGAAACATTCACGTTTAGATTTCCCAGTTGGTTGGTAATTGTCCAAGCACTTGCACAGAATTTCACAATTGAAAATCTGGTCTGTGCCAATGATTTTGCCCTTTCATTTGGAGCCAATCTTTGCTCAACGAAGAAAATCAACGAAACGCCCCGGTTATTAATTGGTTTTTACATACGTTTACCTCGAACGTATACCGATATTTGTTCAAGTGATATAAATACGACGTGGCATGTATGCAGATGGTTGCTCTTGCATGTAAATCGGATCGTATACTTAATCCCTCCAATCTGAACTGTCTCACGTTCCGAACGAACATCGTGTTTGTGAAAAAAAAAAAAAAAAAA